GCTATGTTTGCCGACGATACAGCTGTCTTTTCCCAACACAATGATATATTAATAGCCAGAAATACACTGCAGTCTTACCTAGTAAATCTAGAACAATATTTAAAAAAATGGATGATTTGTCTCAACACCGAAAAATGTACAGCAAAAATTTTTACTCTTAGACGTCCCTCAGACCCACCTGAACTGATTCTCAAAAATAAAGAACTAAAATGGAACCCAGCTAGTGAAGCAGTAAAATACCTCGGAGTTTATCTGGACCGCCGCCTTACGTGGAATTACCATATAAATAATAAACTGACCCAAACATACGCAAGGTTAGCAATGTTATATCCCATAGTAAATAGAAAATCTAGTTTAAAACCAGAGACAACTGTTCTTATTCATAAAACCATACTAAGACCCTTGCTAATGTACGGATGTGAAGTCTGGGGAGCCGCTTCAGCTACGAAAAGAAAAAAACTACAATCCTTTCAAAACAAGGTATTAAGAATTGCAGTAGATGCCCCCTGGTTCATAAGAAACGCTCAACTACATCGAGAACTAAAATTGGAAACAATAGATGAATTCATCAAAAAAAGATTTAAAAAATTCCATACGCAGCTACCAGCAGTTAAAGGTGCAGTGGCCTACAACTTAGGAAACCCAACCTCATCTCGAAGACTGAAGCCCAGACTGATCCAAGACATCATGTTATGAACAATTAATAATTTTCTCTTTATTAATTGTAATTATTCAATAATTATAATGTATAAATAGTTAGGGGTGTCTTTTGCAAAGACTATACCCCACCAGAACAAATTGTTAAAAATCATCAAATTGTTACAACAACCATGTAAGGCCCACCAGGCCGATCTGGTAATAAATAAATTTAAAAAAAAAATAAAGGTATAAATTTTCCCATTAGAAATACCACTTAAATTAATAATAAAAAATGAGAAGGAGTTGATTGGGGGGTGCGGTCAAATAAATACTAAATTAAAATATAGTAATTATTTAATTTTTGCCGACGTTTCTCCCCACTTTGCAGGTCATCTTCGGGGTAGAGAGGAGGAGTTTAAAACTGAAGAGGTCAATGTGTCATCATGTGACGAATTGTTGAACGAAGATGGAGGAGAGTGTGAAGAGAAGTGATTAGATATCGGTGCTGAGTGATGAAAAGTTCCGGAAGGTTTTTGAAATCTGGTACTGCGACGAGTGGGAAGAACAGAGAGGTTCTGATGGGCGGAAGACAGTTGTGGATTGTTTGATCTGGCATTAAGTCTGGGACTGCGACGTATGGATTGTGGGTTTGTATCTTGTTGTTGACCCCGTGGTAATGTATTCATAATGATGTAGAGATGGTTGACCGTTGATTTAATATGAGAAGTAGTTAATTTTAAGGACCTCTTCAGTTTTAAACTCCTCCTCTCTACCCTGAAAACGACCTGCAAAGTGGATCGAAACGTCGGCAAAAATTAAATAATTACTATATTTTAGTTTAGTATTTATTTGATAGCACCCCCCCCCCCCCCAACAACTCCTTCTCATATTATATCAACGGTATCTGTCTAAGCATTTCTTTATCATATAGATCGATTTTAAAGCCTATAAGTGAAAAACAACTTATATTACATCGTATTATTTTATCTACTTTCAATTTTTATTGATTAATTCAATTTAATAGTTCATTATTCTGATGATTTCCGCTTTTTATGATCTCTCTTTTATTTTATTTTAATTTTATATTTACTTTCTACATCAATGTATGATCTCCGTTTTCAGTTTGCATTCATTTTACTTTGTAACTAACTATGTCTTAATATTATCTAATATTTAAATGTAATTTCTTACATATGTACAGCTAAATATAATTATAATTATTCTTTTTTTTTTCCTCCCTATATATCTTAAGTAGTTCTGCAATGTATGGTCTCTTATTTCTGTATTTATATTTTACTTCTTCCATTTTTGTTTTTATTCACATTGTACTCTTATGTATAATTTCTTAATTATATTTTATATGTATATGTATAAATTTATAATTTATTATTTCATAGATATAGTGTTTTTTCCCCTTGTTTTCACCCATATCTTCAAATTCAGGTCAGCAAAATTCCCCAATACCTATCCTTACCCTTATTTTCCAGTTCTAAGTGAAACTCTTGTTGAACACACCTGTAAGTCTTTATTTTTATTCTTCTAATTTTATTTACTTATTTTTGGTTTTCTTTTCTTTCTCTACATTCCTATATGTCTATTATTTCATATTATATCCTTTTTTGTTCTTTTTTAATCTCTCACGTAGATCTTTAGAAATATATTTACATTTGCATATATTATATATTACACTATAACAATTGTTACCATCTATTTATTTCGGTTTAGGGTCTTGCTACTTAGCTTGCTCTGTTTATATTTTAATGTACTTACTGTTTATAATTTTAATAAGCTTATTCGCATTGTTTATATTTTTTTTTTTCCTTCTAAGTATTATGTAACTTCCACAATTCTCTATATTTTTTGTATCTTGTCTGTTCTAGCCCTTTTTTTTTTTTTTTATTTGGTCCTCCCCTTCCTCGCCGTTAAGGCTATACGGGGTTTTCACGGGCCAGGGGGTGTGGGCGGATATTTAAAATACGCCTTGGCACTGGGACGCGAACTCGAGACTATTTTTATAATATTTGTCATATATCAGGTTGTCGGACAACGGTGGTGCTGTGCACACGCGTTAGCCCATTCGGCCACCCCTTCCACTTCCGTTCTAGCTCTGAAGAAGACCTGCAAAGTCAGGTCGAAACGTTGGTTTTTAATAAAATAGTTTTGCCACTATTTAGCCTATTTATGACCGCCACCCCGGACCATTTCCTTCCTTTTATAAGTATCACCTATTTTTAATACCTAATAAAGTGATCACCACAAATTTAAGCAGTCGATACTTACAAATTCCAGTATTGGACTAGTTTCCAATATCTGAGAGGTCGAATATAGGAAAATCTTGATGGAAATATCAATATCTTGCACATGGAAATATCTTGCATTAGCTAAGAAAACATTCTTCACAATGATCATATTACACACAAGTCAGGAATCGGAACTGATGTTTCGATTGATTCAGATGAAAATCTCACGATAAGTTAATCGAGCTCAGAAAAGTTAAATAGTTTCGAAAGAAATAATAGAATCATGACGAAATATATCAAACTGAAACTATTTTAACTGTCTGACCTTTACCGAATAGGATTTTTAATTTATGCTTAAGAGTGTAGTAATGTCAGTTATGTAGTAAAAAAAGGAATTAGTATTTCCATAAGGAGAATAATGTTTGTTATTTTGTGATAGACTCCATTTCTATAGAGTCCTTCCCTCAAAACAAATGAAGATTGATTGATATATCAAACTGAGCTGGAAAATTTTCCAGAATATTCGAAAGTCCAGTAATTAGTTATTAAAACTATAAATAAATGATAAGTCCTTTACTGGGTGTTATTGAATTCCCAGGATATGTTTTCAATAAAATGCTCTTTCTTTGCCATTAGATCTTTGGATTTAAGAAAAAATAAAAGAAGAAGAAATCCAAGATAGTTAAAAAATCATTTTTTTTTTTTTACTTTCTTTATTGAATATTAATACATTCTGCCACATTGAAGGGCATTCATATTAAGGCTACATGATTCATTCACACAATATGTACATACAATTAATATCAATAATAAAGAAAAAGAAATATAAAAAAAATAAATAAATAAATTGGTATGTCTGTGTACAAAAAAAAAAAAAAAAAAATTAATATAATAGATAAAAGCTAGATGAAATTTAAGTAAATAAATCACATTCACACCTATGTACAATATTTACATTCGCCCAGGAGACTCTGAGTCATGCCTTATTCCCCGACGTGGAAGCCAAGACAGGACTCCAGGAGATCCCAGTGCTTCTCTCTCAGCCGCGTCACTGTTATTTGAAAAAAAATAAATTAAGATACCTTTGCTTGATGTACTTAACAGCTGAATATACGTACTACTGTTAACGGAATCAAATGATCAAGTGATTTGATTTATTTGATTGTCTTTCATTTTTATCTTCTATTGTCACTTTATTACCTATTCATTGGAATTAGTGAGCGTAAATTATATGTTAATAGGGGATGAATAGGGAAAGGAGGATGTATAAAATATATTTAATTTATGACTATTTGAAACGCAGTCGAAATTTCACCATCTTAATTGAACTATCATTTGCATTTAGCAATATTTTCACTTCCGCGGGTAGAGAATCATTGTATTTGTTTTGTGTTCAGAAGCGACAATTTCTACTAGCGTTTTACGTTTTAAATTTCAAGGAACAAATTTGGTTCGCTGTCTCTAGTCGAATCCGTGCTGAGGCATCTCTCCTTCTAATTTTTCTTCGATTTTCACAAATTTTTTGGATATTGTGTGATATTTGATTGTGTGGTTATTTGATGCCTAGAAGACTTCGTAGAAAGTTCATCAAATTCCATCCAATACTTTCCCTTACGTACGCATAAAGGAATTTTCTTATATATGCCTACACTTCAGAAACTGCTCGTTAGATTTTGCTAAAATCGATTAGTAAAAAACTTAAGTTATAGCAATTTTATTGAATTTCATCTACTGCTTTCTTCTTTGACACACTTTTAGTTTGAAAACGTCTCGTTCGAGTTGACCCAAAATTGGAGGAATTTTTAAGAATAGTGTGAAAATTGCTTAAAGTCAAGGATATTCAGTGTATTTTTAATTTACAGCGATTTGAAATGTGAGTGAAATTTCTCCATTTCAATCGAACGATCATTTGCATTTATTTCAAGCAAGATTTTCAGACACAATTTGATATCTCACTTTCGGAGGTAGAAAATCATTATATTCAAGCGTGAAGTTGGAAAAATGGTTTGTGCTCAGAAGCAACAATTTCTACTCGTGTTTTAAGTTTTAAACTTCAAGGAACAAATTTGGTTCGCTTTCTGTAGTAAAATCTATGCTACAGCATAGATCACCTACTACTGTTTCTCCGGTCTTCACGAAATTTTAAGGTATTGTGCCTAGATGACTTTAGATAGTATTCATAAAATTCTATCCAATTCTTCCCATTACTCAAATATTAAAGGATTTTCTTAAATATGTCCATATTTCAGAAACTACTTGTTTGCTTTAAGTTGTATTCATTTGATTGAATTTTATCTACTACTTTCTGCTTTGACACGTTTATTGTTTGAAAAGTCGTACTTTGAAACGTAAGAAAATTTTAGACATTGGACTTTTAAACCATCATGTATCTGTAATTGGAAAAAAGTTCGTTTATTCGTAAATCATTTATTTTAATGGATTAATCTATTAAGAAACAATTGTTTCTGTTATGCACAATGATGATATGATTAATTTCCTTCAAGAGATTTATTTACACTTCTACATGATTAGTACAAATAAATAATCTTACTTTTTAGACTTTTTTGGTGGCCACTCCTTTTGCTCGTTTCTCTTTGGATCTGGCGCCTTACGACTTGGCGAAAAGCTGTTGTCTTCCAAATGTTATCAAACAGCCACTTAGACAATTAATAGATTAATGTTAAGTTCAACTTATTTTACCATTAATTTATGGTTGTCACGTAATAATTTAGACGTATCCATTGTAGTACTTTAATAGTACAATTCTTTGGTATATCTCACAGTTATGGCTTCTTATAGAGCGAGGTAGATATTTCTTATCTGCATGCTTTTGAAGTTACATTATGACAATAATTAAATGATTCGGTCTTTTTTTAGGATAAAGGAATTTGAAGATGTTATTAATGAAGAAGAGATTGATTTGTACAAATTGAAAAGCATTTGTTTTAATGGTAAATAAAGTTTTGTTTTAACAACATACGCCCACTTTTGTTGACATCCAATGAAGATATCAGTTGATATTAGATTTATGACCATACAAATATTTTTTATTTTTATATGGAAAGAAAATTTCAATTTTTTATTTTAGCTCATCCATTAGTATAATTTATTTATTTGAGGTAGATTTCGGCAGATATTTGATTTATAGCTATACAAATAGTTTTAGATTTTATTTAGAAGAAAATAATAAAGTTTAGTTTATCCCGACCATTACTGTATTTATTTTCTTTCAAAATTCCATATATTGCCTATTCGAGTGTGACTTTTGAAATGATAATCTTAGTCCTTATTATCACTTAAGTATTTTATGGAATGTTACAGTTTCAATGCCACTTTAAATCAAAATTATTACATAGTTCATATTATTTTTATCAAATCCAGGTCTCGCTGTCATGATACAAGACAATGCACTGTAGCCTTACAGGGATTTTGATGACAGAGCTCATTGTTTGTAAAACTCAAATTTTTGTTGCAGAGAAAATATTAATTTTAAATTATAATTTTGTAATATTATTGATAAGTAATTGTCATTATTCTAAGGCATACCTGAGGAACAGGTCAACAGGGCACTCTGCTGGCGGTTAATGCTTAATTATCTTCCGCATGACAGAAGATGCTGGAATGACGTCCTGGTGATGAAAAGAAAGTTATATGCCCAATTTGTGGGTAAGCTCTTTCCCAGATATTATTTAATTAAAGTTGTTACGTAATTATGCAGTTATGTTGTATTTTAGATGAAATGATTGTCAATCCTGGAGCATCATGCAATGAATCAGGGAAAATAGTTGATGTGACAATGTCGGATCATCCTTTGAGTTGTAGCCCTGATAGTCTTTGGGATGCATTCTTCAAGGATAATGAAGTGCTTTTGCAGATTGACAAAGATGTTAGGTATAGAATATCCTTTCTTTGTTCACATTTTCATGACTTAATTTGTTTAATGCATTGACTTCAGAGGATACAGCTCATTAACGACTATAATAAAATTAAAATAGTCTTGTTTTTTTAAAAGAAAACTATCTCAGTTAATATATAATTTATTTATTTCCTTTTTGTCTATTATTTATTTCGGGCTCCAAGCTCATCTTCAAGGATGATGTCCTTCTCGGTTATATTATCTATTATGTTTAAACAAAAAAAATTTCAATGTTTTTCTTTGTCATTTTAATCTATGAGCAACAGTTACTCATAGTTCAAAATTTTTACTACATAAAAATACATTTCTCAGTAGTTGCTCGATTTTAATAGTCACATTGCTTCTTGTTATCTCAACAATTACTGATAACAGAAGCTTTCATCTATTAAGAAATGTATTTTTGTGTTGTATAAATTTTAAATTATGACCAACTGTTACTCTTGGATTAAAATGATATGGAGCTGCATGTTGAATTTTTTTTCTTATGAATGAAGGATAACATTACCCAGATGAAATTGTCGTTGAAGATGTGCCCAACCAAATGAAAATAAATAAATTATAATTTTATATGAACAAAGGAGATCCCTTTCTTTAAAATAAGAATAATAAAAGGATCACTTGCAATTCTTCCTCATAAAATAATAAGAGATTAAGATTTTTTTTTTTTTTATTTCTTTATGACATTTACAACTGTATTACATAAATACATCAAGTAAATTTGGACATAATTGATATAATGAAATGAATACACTTGCTGAGTAACTACCCAATGGTAGCATTCTAATGATATGACTACAAGATTTAAAATGGTAACTTATCATTTGTAATGAAACTGTTAGTATATTAAGTTATTTTAGTATATTCTGACATGTTATCTGTCCAAGACCTAAAAATAAACAAGAAAAAAAAGTTGACAAATATTAAGACATTTCATATAGTCAGTTACATATACACCTAAATATAACTTGATTCTTAGAAAATCCATTAATTTATTTTTATATGTTAACACACTCATATTTAAGGTATTTATATGCCTGGGATGTTACTACTAGGTTTTTGTAAAAATTTACTGACCTAAACACTTTATATCATAGATTTTACAAATTTTTACAATTTTCTCTGCACAAATGTAACAATTTTAATTAATCTTGTACTTACCCAAATGTAATTACCCAAATCTTGTTATACCCAAGTAAAATTAAGTTCTTTTTTTTTTTTTTCTAGGAAGTTGTATAATATTCTCTATTTTCGGCAGTGAAACTTCCAGATATACAAAAAATTAGTTTATTTTTTATTTACATATTAAGTTGACGTTTCAGGAAAATTATTCCCATCTTTAAAATTTAAAATCCCATATTTTCATAGCGATTTATCACTAGAAAAGAGATAATTAAAAAAGAATGCATGTTATAATACATATCAAAGTTGTGTTGTTACATAGAAAAGTTGTAATTACCTAAAGTCTTTTGTATTCCTTTGTCATGATTTGAAACTCATGTTATAAATAAAATAAAGTTATACTATTGGGAGCATCAACATTCCTCGGACCAATAATTGGGTGTCTGCTATGGGATACTATTGACCTTTGGATATGATTATTTACTTCTTTACTATTGTTATTAAATGACTGTTTGTTACATAGCTGCATTTTAGTTTTACTGTATTTTAATTTTATTTAATATATCTGCATAGTGCCTTCCCAATTGTTTTGTAATTTACTGCTGTTCTCTTGTTTTTTATGATGTGGATGGCTTCAAGTGATTTTGTATTGTTGTTTTTTGGTTCTGTGCCTAACTTTATTTTATTTATAACATAACTTTCAAATCATGACAAAAGAGCACGTCAGACTTTAGATAATTACAACTTTTTATGTAACATCACAACTTTGACATGTATTGTAACATGCATTTTTTTTTTAATTATCCCTTTTCTAGCCATAAATCGCTATGAAAATATGGAATTTTAAGTTTTCAAAATGGGAATAATTTTCCCGAAACATCAACTTAACATGTAAATCAACTAAAAAACCAATTGTTTGTATATCTGGAAGTTTCATTGCTGAAAATAGAGTAAAATTAAATGTATTTTAATATCAGGTGAGCCTTATCATCATTGATATAGTCTTACTGAACTTAAATATACAATTTTCTGATTGGCTTCCTCTAAAATACCATTAATTTGGTTTATTTGAAATAATTAACAGTCTCTCCTGGTTAGTAACATTTACTAGGAATAAAATAAATTTCCAAAATTAAGAATAGACAATAGATTTAAATAGTTAAGTATTAACTAGCTCTTTTTGAGTTAATTGTTTTAGTAGATTGGTTAGTATTGCATGCTGTTCCAGATTTGTAAGAATTCCTTGTGATAACCAAATATGAATTTGTATCAGTTTTGCTATTAAGTATTAATGTCCATGTTGGTATTTAGGCGGCTTTGTCCAGACATATCATTCTTCCAGCAGGCAACTGAGTTCCCATGTTCTGCAGTCGTCAACTCTGGTGGAGAGAAGAGGCTCCACGGCCGCGTTCAACACTCCGTCTTAAATTCTGCCAATGTTGAGAGAAAAGGTTTAGGAATTACCCGAGTGAGTAACAGTTTTGCATCCAATTCTACTCAGTATTCCTATTCCCGAACTTTATTCTTTCCCTGATTATCTAGTTGTTTTTTTTTAATAATAATAATACTTTATTTATTCTGGGACAAGTCCCTTTAGAATAATACATAAGGACAGTAGTGTGGGCTAAGGAGCCTCAGAGATACATAAAAAGAAATGTTGAATAATAAAATAGTCATATTAAAAATTATATGTTACTTTCTAACTTAAATAAGTTAATAATAAACATTTTTAAAATAAAGTAAAAATAATGAAGAACAATCTAAAATAATTTATATACATATTTTCAGTGGTATCTATTTACAATTTTATGGGGACTGGATGGATAAGAAATGATTGAACAGGCGGGATTTAAAGGTAGGAAGTGTATTGGATTGACGGATGTGGGAAGGGATGGAGTTCCATAAGGATGAGGATTGGATAATGAACGATCTGTCGAAAGCAGCGGTTCGGTGGGCCCTTATGTAAATCAGAAGACCTGGAACGAGTATTGCGGGAGCGAACTGATGATTTGAATTGGAGGAGCTCGGAGATGTATGAAGGTCGGTGGGATTGGATGACTTGAAAAAGGAAGGATGCCAAGAAATACTTACGACGGTAGGAAGTGTAAAGCCACTTCAACTCTAAATAAAAATGGGAAATAGAGGCGTCCCTTGGGATCCCGAAGATGAATCGTAAAAAGCAATTTATCAAGCGTTTTAGTTTCGCCTCGAGATCCCCAGAGACGCCCCCATATACCGTACAGCAATAGTCAAAGCGGTGAAAAATTAAGGAAGTGACCAGGAGTCTTCGGGTTTCAATTGGAAATAAGTGACGGAAGTGGTTTAGGGATTTTAAGATGGAAATGGTCCGGCGGGAGATGTTGGATACATGGTTTTTCCAGGAAAGCATTTGATCGAAGGTTATTCCAAGGTTTTTGATAGCGAGATAAAATTTGATGGGATTATCATGTAGGAAAAGAGTTGGAATATGTCGAACAGTTTTAAGGAGTTGATTCGAGCCAATTAAGATTGCCTTTGTCTTTCCCGCATTCAACTTCAACTTGTTGGCTCTCGCCCAGTCACAAATCTTATCCAAGTCTTCTTGAAGTTTTCTGTGGCTGATTATAGGTCGGAGGGCGGGAAGGACAGGTATATTTTTGTAGGTTTATTGTTTATAGGTATTGTTTTGTTACTTATTTGAAATATTATAGGTATCAGATGCTTACATTAACCATTTAATTTATTTATTAATATATATTTCCAAAATTCTAATGAATTGGGTTTCCTGAATTGAAAAAAAAAATCGTTTAAATTTAATCTACAATAGAAATCGAGTGATTGAACTATTGAGAATGTATAAAAGGATGAGATTACACTTTTTAAACAATAAAAAAAGGTTCATATTGAATTAAACAATTGAAATAATAGTATATCTAGGAGGTGTAGAGGAATAAGAGAAGAGAGGAACTGGTGGTGTGGCCTGTGTCCACTGTAGTGTGATGCAATACTATTATAGTGTCTCTGAGCTGTACTTTATATTTAGGCTGTTGCGGCCGAGCTTGTTTAAGTGTTGTTGGCTCTAACAATCTTGAGTCTAGCAGCAATGTCAGAAATAGTGAGATAGGATGTAAATGAAAAACAGAAGTAAAGTGTGTACTTTAGACCACACGATAAAAGTGAAAACATCAACAAAGCGAGATTAATAATATGAAATATAAATTATAAATAATAGCTCATAATAAAGAAGATGAAATGTTGAACATTTCTTCAATATTTCAGATCTGATTTTTAGTTTCTGAGATATTTTTAATCCATGTCTTCCATAAAATTCATTATCATTTGATTTTGGACACTATTTTTACTTTCATTTACGTATATATGTAATATATAGTATGGGTAATATATATGTAATATCGGATAAGTAATGTAATTGTGAAAATTTTGGAATCTGAGTTTTCTACAGAAATACACGTTTTAGGGTACCCTGAGTCCAAATAACCAAGTCCCGAACAATGTTCTGTGTGTGTGTATGTCAGCAGTCTAGCTCAAAAACAAAAAGTCGTAAGAAACTGATATTACGTATTTAAGATAGGTATAGGTCTTAGATGTTTCAGTAACTTTTTCCTTAAAATTGGCTACCAGAAGTGCCACTTTATATCGAGGCTAAACAGATTTTTACGTTTTTCTCAAAAATGGCTCAAACGATTTTGATTAAACTCGGCGTATCATTGTATAATGAAGTGGTCTTTAATATCAATCAGGTCTTATTCCCATTGATGTCACTTTACAGGGTTTAAATGCCCAATGTTCATCTACGTCTTCCTCGAAGTATCTTTAATATGTTTTATTTTAAAACATTAATCATCTCGCATTATTCAGAGTTAACAAAAAATGCTAAATATAACTTTTGAAAGAATTTGATAATTGAATAACGGAGAAAAAAATAAAAATGCTTATCTAGATCGAAAATGAATCTCCGGAAATACTAGTCAGAAGGTATACATATAATATATCGTTGGAAAGCAGAGAATTTTAGAAAAAACAATATCTAATATAGAAAGTTGTAGAAGGTAATGGAGAGTGCCAAAAAATTATAAATAATAATTTTTGAAAACTAATAATATTTAACGTAAATCACGTGTTTTCAAGGAAATTAAATGAAATTTACTAACTGAATGTAAACTTTAAAAATATTTTTAAGTTTGAAAAAAGTAATTACATTTCACCTAATGGAGGCAATGACATTGTTTAAAAAACTATTTCATTGTACTTGTGTGAAAGAAGAAATAAAATATAAAATCATTTCATGGATGTTATTGTTAAAAATCTATTTTTCTTATGTTATGAAAATTGTCTCTAAATTTATTTTTGAAATTGTTTCTGGAGCTCTGAGATTGACAGGAAAAATACACTGTTTGTTTGACGATTATTGGGTAAAATAAAAATTAATTTCAAGTGGATCTCTTATTTTTACTTTCACTTATATGAAATATATAGTAAAGGAAAGTATTGCGATTGTGAAAATGTTTGAATCCGTTTTCAACAGAAATACATGTTTTGAGGTCCCCTGAGTCCAAATAACTAAGTCCTACAATATGGTGTGTGTGTTAACAGTATTGCTCAAAAACTAAAAGTTGTACAAAAGTGAAATTGCATGTTTAAGGTTTTTATGTTCTAGGATATGGTAGAATATTATTGCAACTTTTTCGTCAAAATCGGCTAACCGGAAGTGGTATTATATAATGGACTAAACACACAAGCTCTAACGATTTTGATTAAATTTATCATATCAGTGAAAAATTAAATACTTTTAGATAAAATGTAAATAAAATTCTGATTACTGTTCTCTAACAGGGCTTAAATGGCTAATTTTCAATATTAGCTTCCCCTAAAGTACCTTTAATTTTTTTTATTTGAAACAATTGACCATTTCACATTAATCACTAATACAAAAGATAGTTAAATATAAAATATGGAAGAATTTGATAATTATAATTATTATTTTATTTATTTATTTATGCCTCCCTTCCTTGCTTTTCGGCTACACGGGATTTTGCAGGGATGGCATATCACACACGTGCATGCCATTCCTGCTATTAAACAACGAATTAATTTTCAATTTTGTTTTGTTTTTCAAATATCTTCTTTTTTTCCATTATTTTCAATATATTAGTCTGGTGGCCTTCTATTAGCAGGTTCTCTTCCTAGATTAAAGTGAGAGGGTCCCAGAGCAGCTTTCCACCCGTACACAAAATCTTTGTAATACGGGTAGTTCTGCTCCGTCACTAACTCGGGAAATTCATCCTCCGTGAGGCCATAGATTCCCATTTTTCTGATCATTTCGGCCCTTAGTCCATCAAAGGCGGTGCAGTTGACGATAATATGCTCAGCCGTCTCCGGTACTCCGCAAGTGGGGCATAGGGGATCTATGTCTTTTCCAAAACCATGTAACTTAAAGCGGAAACCCCCATGCCCAGTAAGGAATTGAGAGACCCAGTAGTCCGGGAGAACCCACTTAGCTTTCAAGCGACTTCGGACGGTGGGGAAATATTTTCTTAAGGCTGCTCCTTTCAAGGTTGTTACCCACCGCCGATTCCACTCATCTATGGTGTCCTCCCGGATAATCCTCTTCCATTTTCTTGGGTCTTCTGCAATCCTCACCCGGATATTCTCCGGAAGACCTGCTGAGCCTTCTCTTTTTAACTTAAATATTAGCGAGTCTTCTCGCAGGAGAAGGTCGAGAGGTACCCCTCCTGCTAAGATCTGCACCGCCTCGTGAGACACACTTCGGTATGATTTTGTGACTCGCAACAGAGCTGTACGTTGAATTGTCGCCAAACTGCGTTTCTGACGGTGTGAGAGATTCTGAGACCACGCAGGAGAGGCGTACCTCAGAATACCCACTATCATTCCATCGTAAATGATCCTCGTAGCTGGGTATCTGAGGCCCCAAAATGCACCCCCTAGGTGACTAAGTCCATTCAAGGCTAGGGCCACCCTACTTCCTAAGTAGTCCAAATGAGGGGTCATATTAAATCCTCTTCCAAACCTTATGCCAAGGTAGGTGACCACCTCACTTGGACGTATTCTCGTTCCCTGTATACACAGATTTATAGGGTGTGCCCTATCCGTCTTTCCCTTCAGCAGGATCGCCTGGGTCTTTGATGCGGCCATTCGTAACTTCATCCCCTCACACCATTGCCCGACCAGATTGGCGCACCGCACTGCTTGTAGCTTTATTACGGCTCTGCTGTTTGACGCTACTACTGCCGCCAAGTCATCGACGTAAGCCGTAGCAGGGAACCGCTCATTTTCGAGCACACCCAGCAACTCATCAAACACTAGCTTCCATAGAGTCGGACCAAGGACTGATCCCTGAGGGCATCCCCTCTCTATGGAAGCTTCAGTTTCATAAGAGCTACCTCTGACCTTAACAAATCTGTCCTGGAGATAACTACTTATGAGGGCGTATAGATTGCTGGGGGCATCGTACTTCTGTAGCTGCTGAAGTGCTCGCGGCCACCAGACACTATCGAAGGCGGAGGATATGTCAAAAAGCAGCAACATGACATACCGCTCAGCCTTCTGTTCAACGTCCGCTTGTACTCGAAGCAGGGCATCAGCGGTTCCCTTTCCCTTGGTACTACCGTATTGCCGCGGATGGCTAGCCCTTGCGAGAACTGGTCGTAGGCTGGTTAAGATGAGATTCTCCAGGACCTTGCTCATTATAGGGAGGAGACATATAGGTCTATATGACTTTGGGAGCTGCTTATCCCTGCCTCCTCCCTTGTAGAGGAGTCTCAAATCGGCGATCTTCCACATTTTTGGAAAGTATTATAATTATTATAATAGCAATTATTGTTAATAGTTGTAATTGAGGAACCAAAGGAATACGAGTGCAGCCGAGCTTGCCCGAAAGATTAGAACACGCTTCCATACGTAACATGAACTTAATATAATATTGAATCTGACAATATTATGTAAATATGCATATGTGGTTTTCATAAATGCTATTGATGGTATTATTTAATATTTGATTGTATAGATTACAGCGTTATAAATATTAAAATTTTTATATATAAGTGTACTTATACAAATAAAAATAACCGCAATGAAATATAAATGAATATAGTGTCTATAATTTTTACTTTCACTTCCCCTCGTTTTGAAAATACTTATTTCTCCTTATTTATACTTATTTAGAAGAAGGTGTTAAGTGAAAGTTGTGTGATGTGCACAACGCACCAGATTTTTTATTTTATGGTAGTTTTTTTATAGTGATTAGGAATCATTTTATTGCAGATAGGTAAATAGTCGACTGATCAATTATGAGGTTGAAACAAAATTGTCAGGAATTTCAGTGGGTCGTCATCAGGGATATTGTTCGGATGTCAAGGCAAGAACTCCTCAGTTCTCATGTTTGGGTTGAAACGTCAGCTAACCCAATAAATATTATCATGACTGAAATTCCTGACAATTTTTTTCCATCCTAATTATTTCATAGGATTTATAGGATCAAGTTTTGAAAAGTTTATGGTGGTGTTCCACTTATTATGCAGGTTTAAATGTTTATCTTATTTTAAAAAGTAGATAATTTTATTTCATAAAACAAATATTTTTATCAGGAATCATAGACCTTATATTTACATAAAACCTTAATATACTTTCAGATACTATTAAGATAAAGATTTAAAGTTAAGTAATTTATTTTGGTTTTATTTTTAATGCTTTTCATGTTGGATCTCAGCAAGTAAGTTTCATGTATCAGTTGCATGATTAAGGTTATGAAAATAATTGTTTCATTATTAATTTAAGGTGTCAAATCTTCTGTATGATTTTTGTTTGTATTTTATTTAAATTTATTTGGTCTTCCAGGTTTATTCTTTTGCATGAGAAAAGTTTTTTTTTTCTTCTTTTCACTAATTTTAAGTTGACGTTTTGCGGACATCCTTTTGGTTTTTATTGCATACGTACTTAAAATCAGCAATAAGTTTATATTTTGATGATCTAATATTTAAGTCAGATGCTCCTTATTGTTAGTTGATATGAGAGAGTTTTCTCAGTATTAGCCTTGTAAATTTTATGCATACAGTTTGCAGAATTAAAAATGAAAATTTATAGGTGAAAATCAATGGTTATTGTATTGTTATGCTAATCAAATTGTGCTCAAGTATCAAAATGAATGTTGTATTTGTATGTGCAAATGGTGTATACTGTTGTATTTTTGTTGATTCGATTTATCCATTTCGCTCTTGGTCTTCCACGTGGTCCCTTGCGTTACTATTGAGGTATTAATTGTTGTATAAGGCTTCCTGATGGATTGCTATGAGCTACGTTCCCTGCTCATCTTATCTCCTTGCATTCATAGCATGAGATATTAATTGATCTGTTTCTGTAAGCCATTTTTTGTTGTTCCTTCTCCTCATTTGTTAATACTCTGATCCCAGAACGTACCGGTTATCCTACGGGAGGACTTTTCTCTCAAATCTTCTTTCTAGGATACTGATTAGTGTTCGGAACTCGCTACCATATATCAGAACTGGCTTTATTATAGTTTTTTACACCTTTAATTTGAGATTTCTAGAGATCTTTTGTATTTCATTTATCTTTTTAAGAGAGAAGAAAGCTATGTTTACATTTGTTGGCCTATTTCTGACTGTTGGTCATTTATTGTCTTTGATATTCATTGATCTTGATTGATATTTTGGAGCTATGGTATTTAAATATATTTATTCTCGGAAAAGATTTATCTTCTATGCACATCTTGTTGTCAAGTTGTAATTTTTGTCTTTATATCATATATTTTGTTATATTTCTTATCAGAATTTCATTGTTTTCTTGATTTATTCCAAGACAGCCTGGATATTCAAATATAATTAATGTATTTGATATTTGGCATATGATTAATTTTGATGTGCACTCCTCCTTTTTCATGTGATGTTCTATGCTAGTGCAAAGTTAAACAACAATGTCAATAATGATGTAGAGATGGTTGACCGTTGATATAATATGAGAAGGAGTTGATCGAGGAGTGCGGTCAAATAAATACTAAATTAAACAAATAGTATTATTTAATTTTTGCTGACGTTTCGACCCACTTTGCAGGTCTTCATCAGGGTAGAGGGGAGGAGTTTAAAACTGAAGAGGTCAATGTGTCATCATGTGAAGAATTGTTGAACGAAGATGGAGAAGAGTGTGAAGAGAAGTGATTAGATATCGGTGCTGCGTGATGAAAAGTTCCGGAAGGTTTTTGAAATCTGGTACTGCGACGAGTGGGAAGAACAGAGAGGTTCTGATGTGTGGAAGACACTTGGATTGTTGTGGGTTGATGTTGGATTGATGAAGATGTGGATTGTTTGATCTGTCATCTGTAATTATACCAGATCAAACAATCCACAACTGTCTTCCGCACATCAGAATCTCTCTGTTCTTTCCACTCGTCGTAGTACCAGATTTCAAAAACCTTCCGGAACTTTTCATCACGCAACACCGATATATAATCACTTCTTTTCACACTCTTCTTCATCTTCGTTCAACAATTCTTCACATGATGACACATTGACCTCTTCAGTTTTAAACTCCTGCTCTCTACCCTGATGAAGACCTGTAGAGTGGGTCGAAACGTCGGCAAAAATTAAATAATACTATTTGTTTAATTTAGTATTTATTTGACCGCACCTCCCCCCTCCTCCCCCCCCCCCCCCCCCCCGATTAACTCCTCAGACAATGTCAATAGTTCATCTTCTTGTTTCATTTCAGTTTGAATTTTGAAGACTTCAGATACTTTTCTTTGACTTGAGATTTCATTTGTACAGGCCTTTGTTAACCTCTCTAACTTCCCAGGAACTCCCAGTTCAGTCATGATCTTCGAAAGACAGCTTCTGTCCACGGAAACATTGGCTGCTTTGAAATCCTCAAATGAAGTATGCACATTCTGAGATACTTCCCATAATTTTTCGATGAAGATCTAGTCTAGTTTGCTCCTTCCTCTTCTAAATCCTTTTTGGTTTTTGAATATAAAGATATGAAATATGTTTATATATATATCTTACAATAATTATAAGTTTTTATTGAAGAGAAGTTGGTTGGGGTCTTCTATATAAATTATATTTATTTTTATTTTCTCTTTGTTTAACTGAACACCCAGACAGTCAATAATTATTCCAATATTATAAGTTTTTATATGTTTAAAAAATATATTAGTTTTTTTTTTTTGTGTATAATTATAATGTTTTGCTGAGGAGACATTCATTGATGATGTATGAACCTGTTATCAGATTGCATTATCGCGAAGGAAGGCACCAGAGGACTATGCTCCTCTTCCAGAGGGTTCAGAAGCTCATTGGGAAGTGGTACAGAGGATACTGTTCCTTTATGCGAAGTTGAATCCTGGCCAGGGCTACGTCCAAGGGATGAACGAAATTGTTGGACCCATCTACCATGTCTTCGCAAGTGACCCTCATCAAGAATGGCGGGGTAATTACTTACGTTTTCTTTTTATTTTGATCCTATATTATAACATTGGGTTGGCAAATAAGTCCTTCGGTTTTACTGTTTATTTTTATGTCACTATGATACACTTCTTATCTGATGAATTAATCCCTATGGTGGATTGTTTATCCTGTTTGTAAGATATCAACAACTATATCTGTTAACTCTTGAAACTAGCTTAGTGTTGTGTTTGGTATTGCACTGTGAATACGGAAGAAAATATCATTCATTATCGGCATATTTTGTTGTATTATATTAAAAAAGGTAAGCGTGCTGCAGTTAGTTATGCTATAAAATATTAACTTTAATATTAACTAGTAGAATCACGGAATACGCCGAGGAAATTATCGGAGACTACCAATGCGAATTTCGACGGAATCGTTCGACTATTGATCAAATATTTTCTTTACGGCAAATCTTAGAGGAAAAATTAGAGTTCATTGGTATTGTTCACCAGCTATATATCGATTTCAAAAAGGCTTACGATTCTATTGACCGCCAGAAACTGTATAATATTCTAATTGAGCAGGGTATTCCCAAAAAACTAGTAAATCTAGTCAGGATGTGCTTGAAGGAAACACTCAATAAAGTTAGAATCGGTAATAATCTGTCTGAAAAGCTTGAGGTTCCTTCGGGGTTGAAACAGGGGTATTCCCTTTCGCCTGTCCTGTTCAATTTGGCATTAGAACATGCCATTAGGGAGGTAATGCGTACCGAAAAAGGGTTGGATCTGGGTGGGACAACACCCGTGCTGAGCTATGAGGATGATCTGGTATTGTTAAGCGAAGACGTGGGAACTATAAAACTAAAGACGACTACGTTAATGAATGCCAGTAAAGAACTAGGGCTCGAAATAAACATGGATTAGACGAAATATATGGTTAGCTGCAAAAATGGTGATATCAATATAGATGGTACTGTGTTTGAACAGGTAGAGAAGTTTAGGTATCTATGGTCCACGATAACTAGAAAAAACGAAATTGAAGAAGAGATTAAGGTTAGACTGAAGGCGGGAAATTCTTGTTATTTTTCTGTGACAAAACTACTTAGCTAGTGCCTCTTGTTCCGGAACTTAAAAATTAAAATATATAAAACCATTGTCTTACCTACAGTTCTTTACGGTACTTTGTGAAACGTGGCTGCTTACATTAAGGTATGAGCAACGACTTAAGGTTTTTGAAAATAAAGTATTGCGTAGAATATTCGGACCGAAGAAGGATGAATTAACCGGAGAATTCAGACGATTACACAGCGCCGAATTGCGTGAACTATATCCGAGTAATATAATCGAGGTGATTTCATCAAATGGGCCTGTAAAATTGTTGGGCTTAGTAACTAGAGAATTCCTAAACGGTTAATATTTGCTGTACCAAATGGTAAACGTCCAAGGGGTAGAACGAAGCGAAGGTGGGAAGATTGCATTAAAGCCGATCTGAAGGGGCTAGGTTTGGACGGCGAATGGTGGAGGGAGGTGTGTAATGAGCGATTGGTGGTATTGGCATCGAATCTTCGGGTTCGCTAAGCCTTTTATTATTATTATTATAATCAATGTTAAATAATACACGGTCTAGTCAATTTCCCTCATTTTCTTCTAGAACTTCCTCATTGACTGTCCTAACTTTACTTCACATTTTTATTTTATCAGTTTGACATTTTTGTTATATCCTGTTTTAGAACATGCTGAAGCTGATTGCTTCTTCGCTTTCACCAATTTAATGGCAGAGATTAGAGACTTTTTTATCAAAACTTTAGATGAGACTGAATCAGGTATTTATACTTTTATTTAATTGATTCAGTGATTGCTAGTTTGCAAAGAAATATTTTGTTAATATTATCAAAGTATTGATGAAATATTATGTGTAATATTAAATATGAAGTATTATTATATTATAAAATTTCTTGGTATATAATTATCAGTTGAATACCATAACTCAGTTTTTTTAATTTCTGTCACCTAAACCCCTCTGTGTTCAGTTTTCTGCCTCTATATGCTTGTTTATATTAGTGAACCTTAATATATCAAACTTCATTATATAGAAAATCTATAAATCAATATTTTTTTTAGGATCCTTGAATTTTTGTAAAAAGAAAATGTTCTTATAATAGTATGCATTGAACAAAAAGTTTATTAAAAAAATATAAAATGTTATTGACTTCAAAAAGGTCCATTAATTTTAACTTTGTCTTTCTGGTTATGAACATGATCCTTATACAAAAATCATGTGGAAGAAAATTTTTTACTTTATGAGAAACAGAAATTAAGATGAAAAATAAATATCGTAAAGTTATTAAAAGTTTTGGAGATTAGAAAATATTTAAATCCTTAAAATCGAAAAAAATCAATGAAGAAATATATAGAGTGCAATGCATCACACAACTTTGATTTACCTCTCTACTTTCAGTAGAAATTAATTTTTATGAAAGTTAGTAAACTTATGATTAACTACAATTAATAATATTACAAATACATTATTTAGATATTTCTAGAAAAATAATTTAAAATGCAACATTGATTTTTTAAGCAACTTATATGCATTATATATACAGGTATCAATAAGTTAATGGAGCGACTCTGCAGTGAACTTAAAAGAAATGATCACGAAGTCTATATGAGATTACAAGAACAAGAACTGAGGCCTCAGTATTATAGTTTTAGGTAATTCAAATATTTTTTTATTTTAAACTAAAATTCTATTCTTAACCTGTTGTGTTCAAGAATTTACTTGATGGTGTTTAAAACCAGGCTCTTCTACTTGTTGTGATTTCTCAGATCATATTCGATAAGAAATTTTTCAGATATCATTATTCTGCATATTGTTAAATGATGGTGGAAAGAAGAGAAATTTATCAAGGGAATGAAGGAATATGAAAAATATATACATACGATGAATGTCGTTTATAATAATGTATAGGTTATACTAACATGTATAACCAGACATATAACCAGAGCCCGCATTTTTATACAATTCCATATTTTGTTTCCATGCAGTTCATAAGCTGTTGATCGAATATTTTTACCAATCAGTGTACCAAGATACAATTAGTAATATAAGTTTTATATTGAATATTTGGATGATTTGAACTAAACAAAAATAAAATTTGGAATTAATAAATTAATATTATAAATGAAATTGCATCCTACAAACATAGATTAATTTTCAATCAACAAATCAATAATAATGAACAAATTCTTTCTTTTTATCTCCCCTTATTCCTTTTGACTTTCATTTTCAATTTTTTACTTTATTTACAGAGTAACATTTATGATTATTTTAATTTGATAGTCTTTTTCAAACTTGAAATATTGAATTAACACTTACAATTCCAAAGATAAAACAGTTTTTAACCTAATTGAAAATATATTTTTTTTTTCTTTTTTTCCTGGGAAGTTGTCAATTTATTTAGTTCCTTGGCAATAATAACTTCCAATTATTAACAATATGAGTATATTTTTAACGTTACATGTTAACAGTCTAGTTTACGTTTCGGGATCTTTTATTCCCATCTTCAGAACCGCAATTCCAACACTCTTGTGGATGCAAGGCTAAAATTTTTTTTAGAAAATATTTTTTTGCATCTATTGTTCATAAGTTTCTATTGAAAACAAGCCAATAATTTTGAGTGGATATAAATTTATACCTATCATGTATGTTGATGTAGAAAGTAAAAATATTTCAAACGATAGTAGATTATGTTTTCCAGAAACTGATTGAGAAATTCATTTATGAATTGAAATAATGAATAAGTCATTTAATAGCCCATTTAAGTTTAATTCTTTTCACCTTGTTAATTAGTTTTTAAATACAATTATAGCCAATTTTTTTTATTACTAATTATAAGCTATTGTATTTTTAAAATGATCTCGTATTATGTTTTTACTTAGTTTTGATTTGTGCTTCTCCTGTTTATTTTTCACATTCATTTACGTTTTTAATTATTTTTTAAGTTTTTCATGTTATGTTTATAAACATTAATAAATATATGATTTTATTTATCACATGATTATTAATAATGTTAGTTATTATCACATTAATATCAATAATTATTTTGATTTATAAAAAAAGGGAAATAATTTTATTTAAATTTTAATCCTTCTCGTATTGTTATTTATTTTCGTTTTGGTTTAAAACAATTGAATGTTTTACTACATATTAAGAGATTTTTTCATTGTATATTTTATGCCATATTTTTATTATTTAAAAATCAAGGCCTTGGTTATAACTATTTAGTAGTTATAACCAACTATTAAATAATTATAGTTATAACTATTAAATAGTTATAACCTGTGCCATGATTTTTATGCAGTAATCATTTATGACAATATTCCATAAAACAGTAAAATGTGCAGCAAAATATATCCAAATATGCCATAAGGCTGGTATAATATTCAATATTCAAGTGTTTATATATGAAACTGGAATTCGTCCCACAGATGGCTCTTGCTGTTAATTTAGTTACTTTTAAACGGAGTTATGTATGATCTATTATAAGCTGCTAAAACCTGGTGAAACAGTTTACATTGAATGCTATTAACAACAAATGATTAATTTGAATGAAGTATAGTATAAAAAACAAACAGAATGATGACATAATAGATAGCGATGTACCATATTTCAAATACAATATTTGTAAACATTTTTACGCAATCAATTTGTATTTTCTATTTAAAAATTCCTGATTTACTAAATTGCCTTCAAAAAGAATTAACCTAAAAAAAATTGGAAGAAGGTTTGAAAATCATTTCCTTTATTTTAATCAAAATATGTTTATATTTTTGGTGTCAGCTTATGTGATTGAAACCATCTGCTTTCCATTTGATTACAGCAATGGTTCCCAAAGGGATGATTAATTTTACCGACTTAATTTTACTGTAGTTTTTAAAAATAATTAATAGATTAAATTAACATTACGAGTTAAGATAATGAATTTCTCGACTTTTGAGTGTGATTAAAAAAAAAATGTTTGTATTTTTCAGATGGTTAACACTACTACTTTCTCAAGAATTTCCTCTTCCAGATGTTCTTAGGATATGGGATTCTCTTCTTGCGGATACATTTAGGTTCTCATTTCTTATTTTTGTCTGTTGTGCCATGATAATGTGAGTATTAATTTTAATAACTTTATATTTTATATCTGTGAACTGTTATTGGATATATTTGAAACTAAATGATTTTATTAAACCTCGATTCTCCTACACAACTCCCAGACGCACTATTATTTCAAGTTTTTTTGTTAAATATCAAACTTTTTTAATTCCAGTGGACTTTCGGTAAACCGGACCCATTTAAAAGGCTTAAATAACCTAGTTAAAAATACTAACTCCTTTTATTCAAAATTAAACCAAAGCTATGTAAATATTAAAATTTGGAAGCGTATATATTTTCTCAAATTCTTAATTGGTTGATATGATTAACTTTTTTATTTAATTAATCTTCAGTGCTGAATCGTATTGTTAATACAATGGTAGTTTAAGCTATTCTTCTCATTAGAAGATGCAGTCAGAGGCATTGTAAAGGATGATTTCAAGTTACAAACAAATACAAAATTTTAGATTATTTTACATTTAATTACTAATGACGGCTATAGCCGACGCACCCCACTACTGCCCTCAGTGCTAACGGTGGCTATATCCATCCCACTGGTTTTCTTTCCATTTATTAATGTTCGTATAGCCGGCATGGCACAACCTTGCTACATTCTACTGGTTTCCTAGTGAAATAAAGCTTTTAACTAGAGCCTACAGATGGCGTGGAGATTTATTTTGGAGCTTTTCTTGTAGAATTCATGAACCATTATGGGTGACTACCTACTCCAGCCTTTCTCTGACTGTCTCGACTGTTTTCATTCTTGTTTTTGTGTTCTGTTTGAAGGAACCGTGTGTTCAATTGCACTGAGTATTGTAACGTTCAACGAGTTCAACGCCAAAATCAAACAACGAGTTACCTTTTTCAATATACTATTTATTTTAACACATAACATAAATTCTCAGGTTGAGTTCTGACAACTGAACTCTCATTCAACATTAAATAACTATAATCTACACTAATTTACTAATTACTAACTACACTTATATATAATTTAAAATAGTTTTATAAAATAATTTGTCCCGGTCTAAACTTTTGGTTCTATCCCTGTCAACATAAATGGCATTGTTAGCACTCACCCAAATGTTTACGCCTGTCAGGGAAATAATCTCTTCTTACTTATGAATGTTCCGTTTTCTGTACCACTTAATTCTTTTCTGCTATGTTTTTTTTTCTTCCAACACAAAATAATATCCACTAGTGGCCTCCATCAACACTCGAACCGGCTAGGACTCCTTTTTCACTTTCTCAGCTTGTAGCACCTTATCACTTGGCAGCTCGTCACCTTCTCTCTTGACAGCTTGTCACATTCTGTCTTGGCGGCTCATAACCTTCTCTCTTGGCGGCCGGTCACATTCTGCCCTTACATGAGGCTTGCTTCCCCCACCATCCGCACGCACTTCCTCCCTGTAGTTCGTGCTGTTACCACTTTCGTGCCACTATTAAAATGCCGTATAACATTGACATTACAGTATATATAAATTTTATTTAGTTGTCTAGTTATTTTAGTTAGAAATTAGATCAAATAGGATAAGCTATTTACGCGACAGTGTAGAATTAATTATTTTAGTTGTAGAATTTGGCGCTACAACTCTGTGGCGAGTGAGTCTTGGCCTCCTCCACCAGCTTCCTCCAGTCATCTCTGTTCTGTGCGGCCATCATTCAGCTCCTGACTCTCAGGACATGCCTTGAATCTCTTGCCACACCTTCTGACCATCTTACTTTTGGTCTCCTTCTTCTTCTTGTGCCATAGAGAGGTTCTGTCAGGATCATCCTAGGGATTGCTTCATTTTTCATTCTTGCCACATGGCCAATTGAGGTCATTTTAGTTTTAAATCAAAGTGATTCTTTTTTCCTAGTTGTATTTAGTTTGGCACTAGAATTTAAAAATATTCCATTCTACAATATTAGAAAGGTAATTTACATTAAAAAAAAAAAAAGAGGTTAACTTAAGGTGCTAATATTACTTGGTCTAGAAGTCAACAAAGTGAAGACCAAGTACTTGGTGACGGAAGACACTACAAGACCTGGAGAGATCGTGAACATATACATGTTCAATTTCGAGAAAGTGACAGAGTTCACTTATTTAGACTCATTAGTGTCAAGTGATAATAGCTGTAATTAAAATAAGAATCGTAAATGCCAAGGAGTTCTGTAGTCACTTCTTGTCTAGACAAACCTTGTTCCAGCTCTACGAAATCTTAATATGGCCAGTTATTCTCTATGGTTGTGAGAGATGGACTCAAGAAGAGACCAGTTGGCAGCAGAGGAAATGAGAATAGGGAACTAGAGATTCAAGAGCTGTGAGGAATTTAAGTTTCTCGGTTGCACGATCACCGGCAAGAACCAAGTAGGAAAATATATCAAAGCCCGTACAGCTGCAGGAAATCGATGTCTGTACAGTGTACAGAGACTGCTGAATTGCAAAAATATGTCAAGAAGAACAAAAACTATGATGCATAAATCGATTCTGTGGCTTGTGACATATGGAAACATGACATGGTCCAAGACTAAAGAAAGCAAAAGGATGTTCCATGTATGGAAAAGGAAAGTACTCCGGAAAATTTATGGGCCAATTAAAGTGGAGGCTGAATGGAAAATAGGTCTAACCTATAGCTAAAAGAGCTTTATGGTGAACATGACATTGTTAGAGTCATTCAACTCAACAGATTGCGATGGTTGGGGCATGTGGAAAGGATGGACCCTACAAGAATGCCGAGGAAACTTCTCTATGGAAAGCCAGGAGATGGAATAAGGCTTGGAAAGCGCGTCAGATGGTTGGACGAAGTGGTAGGTAACCTAAAGGAGAAGGGTGTAAAGCAGTGGAGGTGCTTCGTTGCTGACCAGGGATATGTGGAAGAAGTCGTTAGCAGAGGTCATGGCTCTTCAAGAACTGTCGAGGCCCAGCAATGAATGAATGAATGTAAGAGATTGGCACTCACTCGAAATGACTAGCAGGATCTTCTGGTATTCAAAAGTAAGATCCTTTTAAGAATATATGGAGGAGTTTTAGCTGCTGGACAATGGAGAAGATTTCAACCCGGTATTATATGCTACATTCCCCAAACCCAATTAAGGTGGGTGGGTAGGATACGTATCAAGGATGGAACAGGAAGAAATGCCAAAGAAGTTTTTTAAGCAATTACTGTATGACATTAGAAGGAAAGGATAGATTGGTTTGATAGTGTGCCTGAAGATACAAGAGGTATTTTCAGAATAAGGAACTGGATGGGATCTGCATAGGACAGGGACTATTGGCAGGAGATGGTATAGGAGACCAGGGCTTGAGACCAGGTTTTAGAACCATGATAATAATGGTAATATAAATTGAAATAAACAAAGGCTAGACAGATCTTGGCTTAAAATTTTGTGGGATAAATCTTAAAAAATGGATTGGAGGATTTTGAAAACCAAACTTTCTTTATTGTGTTTGTATGATGAAGTGTCTTGGGTTCGTGTAATAATTAAGTAACTATTATTTCTGAACCAACAGTTGTACAAGAATTCTACATACATAATTACCACTAGGTAATTTTTTGGCTTGAAAAATTATTAAGCCAGAACTGCAAAAAAATATTAAAATTTTATTTGGAAATTAATTAGGCCTGTAAACAGATGGTAAGTGGAGGTTTTTATTTTTATTATTATTTTTGGGGTTCCTCGCCTGAGCCAGGCCAGGGGATGTAGGTGGGAATTTAAAAGACTCCCCCGTTACTGGGACGCGAACTCGTGCCGTCGCGGGCAACCGAAGTGCTGTGCACATGCTTTAGTCTATTCGGCCACCCCACCCACTAAGGATGTGGAGGTTCTTAAATGGTTTATTGAAATTCTTTCTTCTAAAAAATAATAATTTATGGATATGCAGTGAAGTGTCTTGAAATCTTCCTGTTATTATTGAATCGTCCAAGTTCTAATGTAGTAGCTTTGTATTCTGAGGCATTCATTATTATTATTATTAATAAGTTTAATGCTTAAACTAATAAAAAACTAATAATAATTTTTTAAATTAATAATCTGGCATATTTTTTTTTCAGTTATTAATTTTTATCGTTTGTTTTCTTTTAGTTTACTCAGGGATCAAATTCTTATAAATGACTTTCCCTGTAATGTTAAACTACTTCAGGTGAGTTAATAACTTTTTATTTTTGAAATTTATGTATTATGAACTGATATATTAAATACATTTACTTAAATCATGATTCATTACTCAGTATTTACTAACATACTGTAGAGTATACTTAGAAAAAAAAAAAAAATAGAATTAAACAATATATATATTTTTCTTTATTATTTAACTTATCCAATTCTAGTTTACATTTCGGGATTATAATCCCATCTTTAAAACCATACTCTTATTAATGCTTTGGCAAAGATGATTTTGAAACTATTTTCTTGTCATTACTTCAAATAAATTATTGTTATAAAAATAAATAATTGTTCATATTAGCAACTATTTGCCATTTTATAGTAGGTACTAATTGTCACGATAAAATATCTTCTATATTAGGTTTAACATCAGTTTTTTTAATCCAGTTTTCTTTTGATAAAGATATTTTGATTTCTTTATTATAATTCTTGTACCAATATAATTATATAATATAATTATAGAAATTAAATTTTAATTGAGGTAGCTTGTATAACTTTCTGATATATAATATAATGGTTTAATATTTGGTCTTATAAATAGGCACTAAAGTAAAGTTGTAATCAGAGCCCGGATTTTTATACAGTAAATACCAACAAAATATGTCATATAATATGCTATGAAAAAACGTCAAATATACCGTGATAAAACATAATGTATGCAGCAAAAAATGTTTGAAAATACAATAATACAGCTAAAATATTCACTTATATAAATATGGCTACCAGAAGTTCTAATAAAAAAAACAAATTTGAAGGAATTAAGGATAAAAAATTACATAAAAACTTTTTTTTTTACTAACCAAACTAAATAAAACATAATGTAAAAAACAAAAAATAGAAAATAAAAATAAATATTTATTTATGTTAAAAAAATAATATAAAATAGTTTTTAAGGTCTAAAATATCAAAGTAATACAAATTTCCTATCAGTAACAAATAAACATGTAATTATGTCTCAAAATTAATAATAATTGACAATATTTAACAAAAATGTTTCTAAAACGCAAATGAATATGATAATAGTTAAAACCAAATTAACACATAATTAGTAATAATTAAAAATATAATGTGTTTTTAAAAATTAAAATGATAAAAATTTCCAATTAGTAATAAAAAGAAAATAACCAATATTTTGTACTAAAAAATTAATTAATAACATGGAAAAAATAAATTTAATACCAATGGATTTGGAATTAGTAAGCAAGATGTTCTGCATTAAAATTAGTAAATGAATTTCCAAAATTGTTTCATGAAAACCTAATGTTATTAACGATACATCATTTGAAATTATTTTATAATAATAAAATGATCTTTCCACATTAACAGATGTGATAAGAGCAAATTTATAACTACTTAAAACTACTGAATTATTAATTTTTTTTTTCAGTAGAAACTTGTTTTGAACAATAAAAATGTAAAAACGAACGTTTTAATGAGTGTTATAAACTGATTAATGTTTCCATTTTAATTTACTATTATTATTTTTTATTTGAAGTAATCAAAATATGCAATATGCATTTATCATCAAATATACAACATAAAATTTGACTGATTGCATCAGGATACACTGATTTGTATAGATATTTGAAACCCAGTTTCAAAACTGCATGCCAACAAAATATGCAATTGCATAAAAGTCCTCTGGGTCTTGGTTATAATGTGATATAATCTAAAAGTAATAAAAACAATTAATAATCAGTTTATCATAGCTAATATAAGGGATAGATATTTGTAAAGGAAGTTTGTATTCAAGAGAGACGAGGGCCCAGACAGATATGTAAACAAGAAAAGGAAGGGACAGACTCCCTAAAGGGGTATGAATGGTTGCAATCAACGTTGGGGTCTAATCTTGTAATCTAACTGGAGGGGGGACTTGCTCCCCCTCTCTGTCAACCTTCCTGAATTTTTTTTTATATTACCTAGATATTTTTCAATCCACATAATACCCATAGAAATTTTACTATAAAAAATAAAATATATTAACTTATAATATATTAAAAACATATGAAGTAATTATATAGAGTGCCCCGTAGACAGAAGGAAATATTTAAAAGGTTGATAGTAGACATCTAGATCTACAAAAAAGTTTATATAAGCAACCAGCTTTGCAGCAAAAAAGTAGGAAATCTAAGTTATGTCTTTTTAACTTTTTATTTAACTTATTTAGCACTTGAAAAATATTTTATTTAATTATATTTTAAAAATATGTTTGCTTTAAATGAAAATTAAAAACTAATCTCAACACAAAAATCGCTTGCATAAATGAATAGAAATAAAATATGTTATTATATATAAATAAAATCCATCAATTAATTTGATCTTGTCAAAAACATAATAAATGAGTTGCTTATTTCCGAAGTTAACCAACTATAATAAGGAGAAAGGTAGTACTTCTTTTATTTCTTTCTTATTTCAGCTTTCTCAATTTCTTCCCTCCTTCCTTTCATTCCTTTTCTCTGTTTTTAACTCTTTATTATATTATACATTGTCTGTACATCTTGATAGACTTTACAATATCTCAATTTTCTATCTAACTACTCCATTCTCAATGTTTTAATTTTACTATTTATTTTCATTTCTTATATAACTTTATATTTCTTTTTTATGTTTTACATTTTATTCTAAGATTCCCATTGTAACACTTTTGTCACCCCTTCTTGATTATGCCTACTTCATCATTCCACACTATGAAACAGTTTTTATTATTTATCTCTTAGTTCTTAGTCATTATTCTAACAATTTCATTTTACTTTATATTTATCTATTTTATTTTTCTAATAATTTTTTTTTTAATTTTATTATTTTTTTTTTATTATCTTTTTTACCATCATTACTTATGTTTCTCATACCTTGTTATCTGGTTATTTTCTTAGCCCTGATGAAGGTCTGAACTTCAGGTCGAAACGTCGGCATATGTAAAAAATAAATATTATAATTTATTTTTGCCTTCCTTTTTGACTAAACACCCCAACTATTCTTCTCTTCATTATCCACGACAGTCAACCAATTACCAATTAAAAAGTAAGTTTTGAGCTTTTTAAAGCAAGTCATGTTTCTTGTTGAATAGAAAGCGATAACTAAAGAAATATTTAATTTATGTAATTAACAATTAATTCGTTGTAAACTAGACAAAATTTACTTTTAATGTAAATAGTTTTCGTAATTATTAAAACAATTTAAAGCGGACTTTTGAGCGGCTAAACAAAGCTAAATTCTGTTTTTTAAAAAATCATAAATTATTTGCAGATTTTTATTATCATTATCCAACTATAGTTCAGATACTCCACTTTTAGGAAAACTTTGATAAGCTTTAAGTACATATTAATTAATTTGAGGTTTATCTGGCAAAAACTTGAGATTCACCTCAAGTTGTGTCAAGAATTGATGTGATTTTCTATCTAGTCACCTAAAAGTACTCGTGTTTGCAACAAAAATGACTACAATCAACTGTTGTAAAGCTTTTATTTCTTATTTTTCCATAATCTAAGATGTATTTATATAAAAAAATTAAGAATAATGATTTTTCAAATATTTTTCATGTAAAGTGGCTATGAAATTGTGTTTTTCTCTTAAATCTCTGTCATAGGAATCAATCCGTATTTTATCAGTGACAAAGTTAATGTTTCTAGTCCTAACATTGACATTTAAAACAAAGAAACCTAGTGATTGCTTCAATTATTTTCATTAAAACTTAAATTAAGTTTGTATGAATTTTGAGGGATAAGGTCTAGGACAAATGGGATATTAAGGTCATGAGGTAGGGTTTGGTTGGTTACATAGAACGGAGCATCAACTATTGTTCGAATGACTTTGGACTGAAAGGATTGAATGCGTTTGATGTTAAAAAATTTTGCTGTCCCCCACAGTTCCAGTCCGTAGGTCCAAATAGGTTTCAGTATTGTCTTGTAGATCAGTAGTTTGTTGTCAATTGAAAGTTGAGATTTTCTGTTCAGTAGTCTATATAGCTGGCCATATCGTCGGTTGAGTTCTTGTCTTTTGAATTTTGTATGTGGGTTCCATGCCAGTCTTCGGTCTGAAAAACTTGTTTTTAATTTTTTTTATTTTCATTAATAAAAAATGTATTTAGGCTATTATTTTTATTACAATACATTCCAAATAATAGACAATTAAGTAATGAAAACTTTGCAACAGTTGGTTGTAGACATTTTAGCTGAAAACACACGGGTACTTTTAGGTAACTTGATAGGAAATCATATCATTGCTTTACATAACTTGAACCCTACACCATGACCATGAGCTTAATATCCCATTTGTCCTCGAACTTATCCCTGAAAAATTTTCCAAATTCCATCAGATTCTTGTAAATCATCCGAATCCCCTGGCACAGTCCCTATCTAGTTCCACTCATCCCTACAATCCTCCTTGAAAGTTGAAGCAACAGTGGCCCAGAGATCTATTGTAGTATATATCCTGGAGTTCTGGCAATGACCAGATCAACAAGAAATATGACGCTTTAAAAAGCTCAAAAGTTACTTTTCTGCGGAAAATTAATCCATTGTTTATATCAACTTTTTTGTAGGTCTAGACGTCTACTATAACTCCTATTAAAAATTTCCCTCTACTTACGGAACACCCTATAAAACATATTATAAATTTTACAATACTTACGTGTAAAGAGAATAACCCAAAACTAAGCTATTAATTGAGTTGTTTATTTCCAACATGAATCCCAATCATAACAAACCTAATGCTTGTGACCAGGAAATACAAACCTTTTTTTCCATTCCAATTGTTTTAACCAATACTTTTAAAAATAATAAATTAAGAAATTCTTTATTTGGAGCACATATTTCCGAAAATCACTGATTTTTGTAATAATAATTTAAAAACGTTGAAACTTAAATAGGACTGTTTTTGTAACAAACTACGTCTAAGCCTACTTTAGACCAAGAAAAAGATTTATAGAAATTCGGTTCGGTGAGAAAGATTGTGTATGATTTGAGGAGACAGAAGTTATTAAAATTTTAACTTTTCTTTCTTAATAATTGTTCATTAAAATATATTTATTTTTAATTTTCATTCGAAGATAAAGGTTGAAAAAGGTTTAGATGAATTATTTTTCTAAAAAGATTTATGAATTGCACAGGTATCATTACATTTCTTGAAGAAAAAAAGGTCAGTTTTGGAAATAAACTTATTTTCACTCACTGTTTTTTAATTTAGGTGGGTTTTTGAAAAAAAAAATATATCATTGTATTGTATTAATGTTCACTTGGGAAATAAGCTACTCATTTATTATTTTGTTGATAAGATCAAATTAATTGACAGGTTTTATTTATAACATATTATATCTGTATTTATTTATGCAAGCAATTTTTATGTTGAGATTAGTTTTTAATTTTCATTTAATGCAAATAAATTTTTAAAATATAATCAAATAAAATATTTTTCAAGTGCTAAATAAGTTAAGTAAAAAGTTATTAAATGGTGTTAAGAGTTTTAGCATACAAAATCTATCTGTTACTCGTTTTTTATTTTTTCATATCTTAACATTTTGGGACTGCATCTAATGTAAATATAATTAAAACATTAGCAAATGGAAAAATAAATAAGTGAAAGAACGTCTTCGCTAAGTATTATGAAATAATTTTTAGACTTACTAAAATATTTAGAAAGTAAATTATAATAAATAATGGAGTGTCAAATTAAGAAAAAAAAATTGATCATGAGACATAAAAAATAAAAATATCTCGCTATAAACTAATTGGAAATAAAACAAACATGTTTCACATAACTTTTATTTACCACTCTAATTACAGTAGTAATTTATTTTTTTTTATAAAGTTAATAATCCTGAACTATATTACTTTAATTATAAATACAAAACTAAGACCTTGTTATGAGAAATGGTTATTTGGACTTGAGGGATTTCGAAACTTGTACTTCCGTTGAAAAAATATTATTTATGAGTTTTGACTATTGCAATACTTTCCCTTTTTATATATTTCATATGTGGATTAGTGGCAATAAAAAGCTTTTTCTAAGATTTTGTCAACAGATCATGTTCTGTTTATTGTACGTTGTAATAATTTCATATATTTATTTTTAGATTTTTTTTTATTCTCCACATGCACTAATGAATTAAAATCTATCTTTTTAAAAAAAATGATTAATTGACTGTATGCTCTATTATTGTTGAAATAATGTTTCCATTTTCAGAGCTTCCCATCTATGGATATTCAGATCGTACTCAATAAAGCGGTGGAATTAGCTGAGTCAAGGTAAGTCTATTTTTAAATAAGGGAAAAAAAATTTAAATAATTTTCATGGATGGTTAAAATTTTTCGTTACTTAAAACCTTATGACATTTAAATAATTTGTTGTATTGTTTAAGTGCTCAATAGTATTTTCTTGAATAAATGATTGGTTACGTTCAGTTATATATTTTATATTTGGTTATTTTCTGTAGCTATTAATCTTGGTATTTCAATTTTTTAGGAAGGGATGCTTCAGGTAACTTTTGAGAACTTCTTGATGGTAAATTTGTCCTTTCTCAGTTTGGTTTAAGTGTATTTCTTATACTTATTCTCAGTTAGTATGTTTTATTCATTAGTGCAATATTGTGAAAATACATAATTATTATGTATGCTCTTTAAAATAATACTGTAACTTAACAACTATATTAAAGTTGTTAAGTTAACCTTATTCTTAAGGTTAACTTTGATTGAATACCTAATGCATTTTGAGCAATATCAATTTTTTAAACATAATCTATACTTCAGAATTTATTGGATCAATGCCTAGGTATTCTATAACACTACAAAATAATTTTTGTTGTATTTTTTGTATTCTTATCGTTATGATATAGAGTTATATTTTATATAAAAAGAGTCACAAAAAGACCTAAAAATGAAATAAAATAATAATGTTGTCACCCATGTTGAAATAAATTATTGTAGTTATTAATTGCAATACTTTGTGGTTGTGGGTTTACTCATAGTTGAACAATCAAATTATTATTTCTTTTTTAATATCGGTTCAGTTAAAAAATTTATTATAAATTATTTCTGATAACTATGAACATCACAATAGTGCATTACCAGAGACAGTAGAATCCTCTTTATTCAGGCTAATAGGGGTTGAGACATTTCTGGAATGTATAAAAGAAAAAAAATTCAATTTTAATTTAACCTGTATATTAGGTAAAATTAAAAATAATATAATAAATGATTTGTTGATCAGATGTATATTAATATATGTTGTCTAATTTATTATGTGATGTAACCTCCATTATTCCTGGTAATGATGAGGAAAAGGTGTATAGAAAATCAATATTTTTTTACACATTTACTATGATTGATAAGGATGTAAAAAGATCATAATATACAATAATAATACATTTATATTTATTAGTAAAAAATTATTTGTACATTTATGGAAAACATTAATGTAAACTATTTATTTATAATTTGAATACTTATCTTTAACAACAGATGTTCAGCAAATAATCACTGTCACCAAAACGGTTTATAATTTCCATTTTTTTTTTAGAGCTATTTATTTTGCCTACGCTACACTTTTTGTTTTGCTGCATTCTCAATAGAAGTGATTCAAACTATTGTACAACACTGAAGTAAGATATTAAGACTTAAATTAGAATAAAAACTCTTGAAGTTCTTAATTACTTCTCTGAAACGATGATAGATTTATTCCTTCATCTTGTTGGTACATTTAAATATTCCGATACATTGTTGGCAATCATAAATAAAAAAACAAATAGACAAAGATAAATAGTGGTCAATCAAGTACCCATTTAATTGAGGTTTTTATTTTAAATTTAAATACAAATTTCTATGGATACACTTTTATTTAAATGTGCAAATGATCTTTTAATTTTTATAGTAGTCATAAAATTATTTATTTTGTTTTATCGAACATATTATTTTCATTAATTATAAGAAAATTTAAGTCTTATTCAATTTAAATTATATATGATATTGAAAAACTGAAATACATAATCAATTTTTTATGTATCCGTATGGTACCTAAATGGCTGTTGTTGGTACTACACACTATTGTAAGATATTTACTATTAGTTTATCCTGTAATTCTTCATAAATTTGTACCCCTCCAGTTTACTATGAAATTTGTCAAATCTGTTAGACTTTTTTTTTTTCATTTTTATTGTCCGTTAATTCATGAACTGGTTAGGTGGGGTTCTACTGTCTTTGAATTTCTGTAAGCGATTTTCTCATATTAATTTTAAGTTTAAATAATATTCTAAAATCAAATTTATTCTTTTTTATTAGTTTTTGAGTGTGTATTGTTAGTTTATTGACAATAATATTATCATTACCAATGATAATCACATATTTACTCATCGGGAATCATCACCTTACTTTAAAATTAATACATTTTTATTTTTATATATGTATATTACTGCATTTTTATATCAATGTAATTGTTTTTTTGATGTTATGCACATCAGTGTATAGTCCAGATTATGTGTACTGAAATGGATCAGAAAGTACAGCCAAATAGATTATAGTGTTTGTCTACTTGTGTTATAATTGTTACATCATTTGACATAAAATGAGACAATCATTGCCATAATAGTTAGCCAATTTGTATAAATTATCTTATAAGAGACTGATAAAGAGAATTATATTTATTATTTAAAAAGAGACATAGCTCTACATATGTATTAAATTTGTACAAAATATGTCAAATTCAACATCTGTGATATATTTTTCGTCTGTTTAATAATAACTCTATTTTGTGTAAATGGTATTGCATGTCTGTCCGTTAGCACTTATTAAATTAAAAGTATAATCTCATACATGTTTCAATTTGTGTATATCTCTAAAAATATTGTTGTGCTTAGAGACTTGAATGTAGAGTTAATGAATGTTAACTATAATCTGGTTAATGTAATTTCATTTGTTTATTTTTTTTTTTTTAGATTTATAATTTTATTTTATTTTTTATAAATGACATTAAATTCTAATTGTTGTTTTGAAAAAAAAAAAACAATGTGTACATGACATATTGTATATTGGTGATCCATTAGCTTATTGTTTGACATTGTTATCATTTGAGTAAAGTTAATTTTATGATTTATGTTATATTTAAAAATATTTGTTATTATATATAATTTGATTATCAGTTTACGTTTTATACTGATGATAAAATCATCACTTATATTATTATATATATAAATGTTTATGCTAACTGAACATTTATTCTTTATTTTTGTGATCTTTAGTTTAGATGTGATACAGAACTACTTATAATTAAGCATCTAATAGAAACATAGATATTGGAATTTGAAGCTGTTTAAAAAAACAAAAACAATAGAACTTTATTATTAGTAAAACAATGGTACTTCATAAGATCACCGGAATACTGTCAAGATCAACCTCATATCCTTGAATGTTAGTTAAAAAACAATTGAATATTTTTGATGAATACAACTTTTGAACTTTTTGATAAAAAAAAAAAAATATATATATTTTTTTTTGCAAAACCTTTTCTTCACAAGACATAACTTGTCTCAGATAATTCAGTTTTTCTTGAGATAAAAATCACTGATAATTGTATGGCACTACAATAAATTCAAGAAATCAAACATTGTTATGCAAGTTGTTATAGCTTTTAAAAAGAAAAAGGGATATTTAAAAAAAAAAATGTTTATACTCATTAGGTTATTTTTTATATTAGAATAATATTTAATTTACTTTAGTAATTACAATTATTAATTAATTATTAGTTACTTCCATGTATTGAAGAAAACAATCAATTCCCAGTCATAATTTAATTTAGTTTAAACACTAATTCAGAAAATAAATAAAATTATTATAAATATTACTTTAACAAATTAAACATGAATGGTTCAGTTATTAAAGTTGTCAAATGTACACTATTATTGAAGTTGTGATATTTTCAATTACACACTTCATATTATATTGCATGAATTGTAATTGCAAAAATCATTCAGTGTGATCTCAGCAATGATAACTAGTTGCTGTAGAGGAATGTTTGGATTAAAAAGATCATTTGGGAAAAATTTACAATGAAAGATTAAAACGCAATAAATAAATGAGAAATATGTACCTGTATACTTACTGAAAAATATTGTTTTTTTATACGTAAGAATTCATATTTTAAAGAATTTTTTTTTGTATGTTTTGACCTAATGTTTCTTCTCTCAGATGTTTTAGAAGAATGATTTATGGACACATGGCGTGGTTCGCTGTAGCCTATCAAATACAGTAATAGAAACCAAACAAGGCATCTTCATGCTTTGTTGTCATTCTATTTTATAATAAAAGATGAGGTAATTTCAAGCATATTTATGATTTTAGAAAATTACCTTATTTAACTTCGTAGACATTGAATGTTCCGTTCTCACTCACTTATCTTTTTCCCCATTTTTTTTTTCTTTTGAGTGGATTACTGGAATGTTCGGACTACTGAGATTGTACAGTTGTTTTAACATGACACATTTAGTAACATAATTGTTGAAAAAATATTGAAAGTATTTTGTGTAACCATTCACAATAATAATGGATAGATGGATTGAATTATTTTGGGATCAACTGTCCATTGATTCAATAACTGGTGTTTCTAGTACTTAAAAGGAGTGCCATCATTATAAATTGTTAGGATCAACTTTATTCCTCAAGATATTTCTTAATAAATTTATATGAATATATTGTATCATGTATGTATTTCTGTGTATGTGTAATAAAGAGTTATATTTTATTACAGTTATGTAGTCTCCTTTATTTATTCCTTTTGAAACTTTTTTTTTTATTCAAAATATGTTCACATAGATATGAATTAAGTTTTCTATAGTAATTCTTGTAATAGTTCAGTTTATTACTTGGATCTAGTTTAAATTGTGTAATTTGGTACACTATGATGAGTTCCATTAATCAATTTAGTAGTTTAAAAAGAAACTTGAGTACTTATAATTTATACATCCCAGTCATTTTTCTAAAATATTTTAATGTTTTAATAGCTAGCTATAGAGTGGTTCATAAATGAATAGATAAAATTAATAAGTAAAAATTCGGGAATTACACGAGCTTTGTTTTAAATAGTTCGCGTTACTCATTCTATACTCACTTAAAAGGGATTAACAGGCACTCAAGGATTTCTTGCTGTGGAGATCCGTATTACCAACAGTATCCGTCTCTTCCCATTTACTTCAGACACACTATATTATTTTCAGAATTGTATCTACAGTCTGTTAGATGTGATTTTGAACCTGCCACCATGTTGGTGTGGTATTTATTAAGTTTTTGTACCACTTGTTATCAGGACTAATCTGTTTAATAAATGCGTCAAGATCAAATCGATCACACTGTACATGGAGTCTGGAAAGCAACCTAATGTTAACAGTAGCCAATATAATGTTAATCAGCTGTTCCCTATTGCAAGTCTTTAATATATCACTTACAAATAAGTGCAAACAAATTTTAACTGAATACAACAAACATATCATTAATAACTAGTAACAAATGAAGATATAGACATATCATTTTAAATTTAAAATATACGCAGCCGAAGTGAGTCCAAATACAATGGTAATGGAATCTAATAACAATGAAATGCCTTAAATTTTGAGTGGAAGGAAAAATTGTATCTTAGATGGATACACGGGCGGATCTACAGGGGGGGGGGGAGGGAGCTTTCGGGCTGAAGCCCTCCCCAAAATGGAAAAATATAACCATGTTTTATGGGAAAACAAATTTAAAAAATACCTCTTAAAGCATTATTGTTCGTGTAATTACATTAAAAAGTACTTAAGGAATAACATAAAAACCATTTCATATAGGTAGTTAGTTTCTTTCTGTATTTCCAAAGTAATTATCGTTATTTTTATGAAAAAAAAGGTTTCAGGCTGAAGCCCCCCAAAATTAAATCCTGGATCCGCCAGTGGATGGATAAATAGGTTTATTACTGAAAATAATAAACCAAAATATGAGTAAAAAGACAGATCTCTTATATTTAGATTCTATCTTGAAATAATGAAATTGTATGATGTGAGGGCGCTGTTCATCATATGCGCAAACTTAGATTTCTTCTCTTCATGAATTCTATTTAGTTTTGTTTTATGAGGGATGTGTTTGTTACTTTCACTTGCCAATATATGTAATATATAGTAAGTGTACGTATTGCGATCGTGAAAATGTTTGAATCTGAGTTTTCAACGGAAATAAACATTTTGAGGTCCCCAGAGTCCATAAAACAAAGTCCTTAAAAATGGTCTGTGTGTGTGTATGTTCGAAGTCTAGCTCAAAAACGAAAAGTCGTAAGAAACTGATATTACGTATTTAAGATAGATATATGCCTTAGATGTGACGGCAAGTTTTTCCTTAAAGTCGGCTAATCGGAAGTGCCACATCAATGCTGAAACACATTTTTACAATTTTCTCAAAAACGGCTCTAACGATTTTGATTAAACTCGGCGTATCATTGTATAATTAAGTGGTCATTAAGACCATTTAGGTCTTATCTCTATTGAGATTACTTTGCAGGGCCTTAATGACCAATGTTCATAGGCGTCTTCATCTTAAGTACCTTTAATATGATTTATTTTGCATAATTAACAATCTCTCATTGTTAGCAGTTCCGAAAAAAATGCTAAATATGACTTTTGAAAGAATTTGATAATTGAATAATGGAGAAAAAAAGAAAAATACTTATCAAGGTCGAAAATGATTCTTCGGAAATAATAGTAGGTATAATATATCGTTGGAAATCAAAGAGTTTTAGAAAAAATATCAAATAAATAAAGTTGTAGAAGGTAACCAAGAGTGACGAAAAAAATATAAATAATAATTTCAGAAAACTAATATTATTTAACGTAAATCACATGTTTCCAAGGAAATTAAATGAAATTTATTACTAAATGAAATATTTTTTGCCTAAGTTTGAAAAAAAGTATTTAAAATCTACCGAATCAATGCAATGACATTATTTAAAATACTATTACATTGTACTTGTGTAAAGAAAGAAGTGAAATTAAAAATATTTGTTTAATAAGTTGTTTGTTGTAAACAATATGTTTATAACCATATCCATGGTTATTATTATGTTATTAAATTGCAGTAAATACATTTACTGCAATTTAATAACTCTAGATAGATGATATATTTAAATAGTTTGGTATATATCGGCTGTTTATTTCGAAAAATCATCAAGAACCCTTTTTTTAAAAAACTTTTATTATGATATTTACGACTGTATTAGTATGAATACATTAAGTAAATGTGTACAGAGGAATATAATAACATGAAACACATTTGTTGAGAAACTACCCATTGGTAGCACTCACTAGCGGATCCAGGATTTAATTTTGGGGGGGCTTCAGCCCGAAACCTTTTTTTTCATAAAAATAACGATAATTACTTTGGAAAAACAGAAAGAAACTAACTACCTATATGAAATGGTGTTTAAGTTATTCCTTAAGTACTTTTAAATCTGATTACACGAACAATAATACTTTTAAGAGGTATTTTTAAATTTTTTTTTTCCATAAAACATGGTTATATTTTTTCATTTAGGGGGGGGACTTCAGCCCGAAAGCCCTCCCCCCCCCTCGTAGATTCGCCCGTGGTAGCACTCTAATAATTTGTCTACATGAGGAGATCACGAGGCCATCTTCTTTTCAGACGCCTCGGAGGGTTATCAGGAATCGAAGACGAAGCAAGGTTAGAAACAAGAGGATTCGGATGGTTCTGCAGTTTGTTATGGAAGGACAGATATCTGGATTGGGCCAAATCGGAAACATATGGAACATTGAGGTCTTTATGGATTATTTTATTTGTGACAAAGTAAGGAGCATTGAGGATTTTACGAAGGATTTTGGATTGTAAAGATTGAATAGGAGAGGAATTTGATGGTTTAGGGGAGCCCCACAGTTCTACTCCATAAGTCTAAATAGAAGAACCCTTTTAGAAAATTAAATTAGTGAATAATTTGATGAATTTTCCCTTTGATAATGAAATCCCAACATTATCCAATTAGTGTGATAACTTTTAACCTATCCATGACAGGCAAAGAAAATCTCGTAATTTCATTTAAGTAAACTTAAAAATGGAAACTAGCAGTTTAGTAATTAATAGTCCAACAATCGATAATCATTTATAGGTTAAGTATTCAGATGTACTTTCAGATATCTCTAGGCATATATGAGTCATTCATTTGATAGAATGACTAACTCCAATTTCAACATTCTTTATTATTAATTTTAGTGATGTTTCTAGTGGCAAAATTCATACCTTTATTCACAGTTCTATAATTCAACACTGCAATCACCTACTATGGAATCAACTTGCTCACTGTCTGTATAGATATAACTTTTCCAACTAGAAATATCACTAAAATGACATTACTCAAAAATGTTGAAATTGGAGTTAGTCATTCTGTCAAGTAAAAGGCATATAGCTCCTCTGAAGTAAACTAAAGTTATTTGGTTTACAAAAACTAATGGAGTGACTTAGTTTTCATTGCCTATCGTATATATAAATAGTAGGGTTTTTGTTATTTTAGTGGTCTTAATGATTTGTTAGCTGTAATTTTTAAGTTATAGCTACGTTAAAAATCCTCTTCAAAAATTTAAAATTGTCAGCAACTTATTTCTATTCAAAGTAGAAGGTAAGTGTGAAAGTTGTGTGTTGAGCGCACCAGATTTTTTTCGGTATTAAAGTGGAATGTGTGCTTCAATATGGTACAGTCATTAGTTAAGATTAGAGACCGGATTTTCGTGCAGTAAAAATCCGGAAAACATGCAGTAAAAATCTTAAAATCGTGCAGTATAAATCTAAAATACTTAAAATTGTGCAATTAACACCTACAAATGTGTAAAATCAGCAATATTGTTTAATTTATAACATTAATACATCGAAATCTTATCAGATTTTGAGTTAACCGAGATAAAAATTGAATGTAACGTTATTATTATTTGGTTATATTTTAGGTGCCGTGTGCAACTTTATAGGTTAGAGGCACCATCTTGATTGTTGATTTACATTTCAATATGTCTTATGTATGTAAAATTTTGGATGTGTATGTTGTTAGTATTTTTGTTTAAAGAACGTGATGTTACAACTGAATAGGTTATTTCTAATTTACGTTGTAAATTCGTTTATGAGGATGATATTGTTTAAATATGTCTGCAGTAATTGTGTTTTTTCATAAATTGGAGTAGGTGTTTCTGATTTCCAGGTTGTAGGGCTTGTCGATATCCTGAGGTCCTTGATGAATCTAAGCTCGGAAAATTTTCCAACATCATGATGGCGAACTTCCGTCGAGTAGATGCCCATGCGTGAGCCTGGTGTGCCCTGTTCTGAGGCGTTGAAAATAACGATTATTATCAAATAATGCAGATTATTGAAGGTTTGAAAGAATAATTGAAGGCAGGACTTATAGGTACCTAAATATATTACATAGACCAGACCAATTTTAGATATATAACTTTTATTAAAAATAATAATGAAAACTTTATTTTTTAATAGAGTTGATGTTTCCAATATTATACATTCTCAAACGTTGTTAAAATTTAAAGAATTTTGAAAAAAAAATGGAATAGACTGCAATGTTTGAGATTTTCAAGTGTTATTGAGAATTTCAGAAATTAGTGTTGAAGCTGTTTTTCTATACCAAAAAAAAAATATTTTTGGGGATTACGTTTTTCTAAAAAACATTCAATTCTTTGATAAGAATACTTTTTCCCCAATGAGCGTCTATTAGTGATTTCTTATCACCTGATTGAATCATAAGGTGTTTATAGAACTTTCTTGTCAAATTCTTTGTCCTCACACTTCAAATCGGGGTATTTTTAAATCTAGATTTTAATTTTTACTGGGAGA